ATTAATTTGTCTTAACATCGGAAGTAGAATGTCTATTTCTATTAGGTAACCATTATACATTTCATAATTGGTTTTGGAGCAACCTTTGACCCGAAATTGCGTGACAAACGACATCTATTAACAAGTTCTAAAATGAACAGTGTGTTTATTAGTTATAGTAATTTAATAAATGACTGGATAACACTATCTAATTAATCATCGATCATTCCAGTCGTCAATAATCCTGTTAGTTGAGAATTAGATTGAGGACAGTGATGAGAGGAGGGTAATGTGACTTATATTAACATCTAAATGACCGATCTATTAGTTAGCCTGATGGTCAATATTAGTTACTGGCCTAATAATATTAGTCAGGGCACCATTACAAACAAACCTCGACAAACCTTTTCTACTAGGGATGTGTTTGCTAGTTCAATCGATTATAATGGGCGAGGAGACGTTGAGCGTTTTCCATACAGTATCCAATTTATTCGGAAGAAACTGACAAAAAGGGAAATATATGAACTGTCCGTTATCGGCACCCAATCCATTATTTGCTTCATATTTCCGGCTATTATGCATGGTTCTGGGTATCATATTTTCTTTTTAAATGATATAAGAAATGAAAATTTCCCGAAGTTCCTTCAGTGAATACAGGGAAACATCCAATCCAGCTTTAAGAGTGCCAATCACAAATTTACATGACGTATCGACAAGATTTCCCTTGTCGTTATTAGGTGTAATGGTGGCCAATTCTCAAAATGCGTACGTGTCAATTGCAACCCTTCTACCTTATATATCCTTGGAGGTGCATTTGACACAAAATGGTTCAGCCAACCTTTGTATATGTCACTTTAATCGCATACTTTAAACATAACTATATACGAATCAATTACACACCGTGCACTTTGCATTTAAACTTTAGTTATCGCCTTTTTATCACAAGACATAATTTGTAACGTTTTAAAAACGATTTAAGACATCAACAGTCTTGCTATGATCGTATACCAATTTAAAACAGTTTAAGGCATAACTAGTATTATTTTAATCTCAAATTTTTATTCAAGATTTATTTAGTTGGCGTCTTCTGCAATACATGCATATAACTGGTGTTAGAGAATTTGAGAAGGGTAATCCGTCTTAATATGATATCAAAACGCTAGAAAATAGGGTACTGTATTAAAGGGATAGATTTGACCAATTGCACCTTGGTCTCAGAAACGGGTTTTTACAGCCCACCGTCGATATTTGAGCCTGTTAAATCCATGTCTGTCCAGAATTATCCGCGTTTTTTCGTCTTTTCTTGAGAATCTGTCATAAATATTGAAATAAAATTAATATAGTTTTACGTCCTACTTTTCTGCACCATGTGGGCTAATTAAAACGGGCAACGCCGCAGGGTGCAATGAGGATAATTACACCAGGAAAGCGTCATTGGCCTTCTCTTTTTCGATTTTCAACTGTCGAGGGCTCTTTAACGTGCATAGCCTGTTGCACACGGGACGTCGGTTTATTGTCCCATACGAACGACTAGACGCTTTTTCCATGTCAGCCCCTCTTACCTGCATCACTGACAGCTGGATATCGGGTTGAAAAATCCGAAGATTTTATCTCGACCTATGCTGGAATTGAACCTTGAACCTTGGACCCTAAGATTAGCGAGCAAGCGCCTAACTGACTGAGCCATAGCGGGTCCCAGAAATTGAAAATGGAATTCCTAGTTTGTGGTATTTGAAGGAATTGTGCGATTTTTGTTCATTTCTTGTACTTGCTTCTGAAGACTATTTAAATATTATATTCAAGACACAAATCAACCCCCGAAAATGGCGAATCTGTCCCTTTAAAAGTTTGATTTATCAAAGATGGAACGGATTAGATATAAATTTGCTCTGTTTTCGGTCATTTGTTTATGTTTTAACGATCGGGAAATAATAAATTCAATTGCTAGAATTTTGTGACACTTTCAGCTTCATTGTTTACTCTTTGTGATTGTGACCATCACGATATTTCAGTCCCCGATCAATTGAATTTATCACATTAAGATATCGCCTAAAGAATAGACAATTTTTTAACTATTTTATACCGATATGTGCATGCACAACAATGTTAACTAAAAATCTTGTCCAAAGAAAAAGCAAAATCGAGAGGAATAAATGATCCAAACAAAAGGACCATCGGGTGTTTTGAAAAGAGTGCACATGGTCTGCATCACAAATGATAATTAGTGGAATTTGATATATCTCAGAACAAAAAGTTAAGCGGCACCAGATTTTGAACCAGTGTTCGCAAACGAATGCAATTCACAATCATACTTGATGACAAAGATTTATACATTGGAACTTAATGTTGAAAACAATATGTATTCGTGAAAAAATCAACAACAGGAAGTGGATGATCGTACATTATATTGTCTTTATAGTCCCAAATGCAAAGTATCTGTTTTTCACAAGTCTTTGAATGTCCTGTTGAGGAAATTGCTGCCACTCCTGATGCAATGCTGCATCCAACTCTGTTACAGTTTGCACAGGAGGGTCTCTACGACGTCCCAGAATATACTGAATTAAAGTTAGTGGCGCTCAACTTTTTGCTCTACGTATATATAACACTAAGGGACATGATTTACTGGAATACCGGTCAGCTGCTTCATGGTTTTTGAAACTCACAACTCAAGATGAGCTCGAGATATATAAAGAATTATTTGCGCTTTACATAATTATTGAACGCTATTAAATCGAATAAACGAGAACCACTATATCTGGATCGGCCATTCAAGTACCTCATATCGAGAAATTAACCGACTCCATCAACTGGTTGTTTGCAAATTCCCACCGCTCATGGGAAGTTAGAACAGGAACAACTTATGGTAACAAGCGACAATTTCAATTTTAGTCGGCGGTTCACTGACATGTACTAAACTCAGCGATTGTTCGCCACTTCCGAACGTCCGTGTTTCATTCTAAAAAGTATTACTGGAAGCTGAAATGAAACTTGACTAGCTCTATCTGCGTGAAAAGTGATGAACAATTTTTAGATAGTAAGAATAGGACCTTTTGAGTAAGGTGTGTTATGTCCGCCGTTAAATCTGAACAATGTGACGATTGATTTACCTGTCACTGTGAATTAATGATCTTGAACTGTGGAAGATGGCCTTTATTAGTATTGTTCGTAAAATGGATTAATGTATAGATAGTAAGTGGAAATTAAGGGTTGCCATTTTAAAACACTTCCCATTTTCCTTTCACGCCATGTCCGGAACCAGCATCGACCTTTGTCCTGGCCATTTTTCTCTTGTTTTCTATTCGAGTCTGAAAATACATTAATAAAGTTGAACAGTGTCTTTAGTGTATGAAAGCCTATCTAAGCATATAGTGTCTTGGAATTTTACAAAATGAAGCGATTTTTCGTTCCTCCTTCGGGTTAAGTAATATTTTACATTAATTTTGACTTATTTCATTTTTTTATCGATTAAAAAATCAAGAACAATATTTTCATTGCTGATTATTGGATAACTCTTGAAAAGTTAAAGAAATTCAATAATGTTTAGATTGTCATGACTCGATGACTTTTTCGATTTTTGCCTTCTGTTAACGATTTTTAATCCGTGTTAACATCTAGATTTAGATGTCAGAAAAAATTGTGTCGTTGATCGTGCATTCTATATTCAACCAAGCACTTAAAATTGTTTTTTCTGACTTTTATGAATGATAGTTGTGTATTGAACGTAGCGGCTTTACTCTGGGAAAATGTCTCTAGTTATTTAGCTTTAGTTTTTTTTCCGTGTATTTGGTTTGAATTTGGAAATAGTTTCTAAAATATTAAAGCTGTTCTGGTAATGTTTTCCATATTTTTTATAATTTATATATTTTCTCTTGACAGCGTAGTTGTTATATTATTTTATTATATTTATTCTAAAGATTTCTCATTATTAAAAGTGCAAATTGTTACAAGAAGAGTTCATGATTTTAGGATGTATATGTCCTTGATTATTTATCATATCTCATTAAGGTTAAATTTGATCTATACTTTTTGGGGTTAAATTTATAGATTTTTTATATTATCATGTTGGTAACAGTTATTATGATGATTCAATTACATTTGATTGTTAGCTGTCCCATTGTGACTGCAAGATTCGATCCTGTCTCATCCTGTATAAATTGAGATTTGATCATGGCAGAAACCTATTTTAAATCCAATTTTGTCCTGTCTTAACCTAGACTCGACCTTATTTCGCCGCTGTTTAACCTAGATTCTTTCAGTGGCGGTCGCAGTCGCAGAATTACATTTCAGACAGGATACTCTAATGTAGAGATAATCCAGTCCTAGACCAGACAGGAATGAATTAACAATAGTACAGGTGGATTGTATACCTGTTCTCATTGTATCAAATTACAGAGTTTATAAAGCAGAGACCTTTAGTTCTGAAACGAACTGAAGTCTCGATACAGATATATGGTCATCAGTAAAAGTGAGATGAAAGATGAAACGGGAGACAGGGTCGGATCTAAGTTCGATTAAAATAAATCTAGGTTGTTACAGGCTGAGACATGAGAAAGGATCGGTTATAGGATCTAAGAATAAAACTAGATTGATACCAGATGAGACAGATCAAATCTAATTGGATACAAGATGAGACAGAATCAGATTGAAGTTGATACAGGATCAGATCTAGGTTGATGCAAGATGAAGCCGGATCTAATCTAGGTTGATAAAAGAAGAGACGGGACCCATCGAGGTTCATACAAGATGGGAAAGTATTAAATGGAGGTTGATTGGGACAAGATCAGAAAACAATATGAGATCTGGTCGGATCCATGTTGATGGGGTGATATCTCGAGTATGAAAAAGTGCATCCTTCTCAAATTGATAATTATATTTTTGGTTAAATTCAACGGTCGGTATCCAATTTTATGTCAATTTATTTTTACAGTTTCTCATTGTGAATTGGCCCTGTATATTTTTAATGTTTCGTCTCTTTAATTACAGAAAAGAATATGGAGTCGTATCCGAATGAAAATTCCTACATGACAAAACCCGGTTATAAAAATGAAGCCGAGCTAATAGAAGACGATGATGAAAGAGAAACTTGGAGTAAAAAAGTGGATTTTTTATTATCTGTGATTGGTTTTGCTGTAGATTTGGCCAATGTTTGGCGTTTTCCTTATTTATGTTATAAAAATGGTGGTGGTGAGTATTTTATTATTAGTTGGAATACCTTTTTTGTGTGGCTAATAATTATGTTTGCCTGTCAAATAATCGATTAAAATAATCGTTTGATGCGATAATAACTCATGCGATCGAAGCACCCCTTTTGAGCATCGGGGTCGTGAGTAAATATCTGTTCTAAATTCATACATACAATAAAAATTTAATGAAAAAGACTGAAATTAGCTATAGCGTTATCATAATTCGATGACAAAGGTGATAACACTGTTTCGGCAGTTTGGAAGGAGTGATTTTTTTTTGGCAAAAGAGACTGTTACTTTCGGTTGAGCTTAGGAACCTTTTGAAGAATTTTTGGGGAGCTAGTTGAGAGCAATGACCGAGAATCTAAATCGTGAAATATTATAATCAACCAATTAAACTATATCCAAAATTTACCATACGACAGATGGCTATTTCAAACAAATTGCACCCATGTCCTTCAATCTACGAGCCGCCAGCATGAGACAAATCTTCAATATAAAAGACTCCACGACCAGTCAATAAATCACAAAATTTATAAATGGTGAAATTTCCCCTGAAAGAGACATAAGTTACAAACAAATATATGTTTTAGACGTATTTATATCCTTTTAAAGTCTGGAATTCGATACGCTTGTCAAAAAGTGTAATAGGCAATTATAATTTTATTGGTTTTGTCTAGGCGAGTTGAATCGTATTCTTTAATATTTACACTTTACCACTCTGGAAACTAGACGCACTGTTCCTTACCTATTGCCGATATAATTAATATAATCTTGGTTCGCATCTTTAATTTCGTAGCTATATATCCGCATAACCGGAATTTGGTTTTCATTTTAGTGCTACTATCTGTTTAAGAAGGTTACCCTTTGCTAGATTCTTAAAGCTATATCAATCATCAGTACAGAAATTTGTATTGTAATATATCGGTACCATTTTATCTCGGTCGAAAAAAAAATATATTATATATGGAATTGTTAGTATTCCAAATGAGGCTTAATACGAATAAGGGGCAGATAATACTCAATTTCTCGCAAAATCAAACCATGAGTAAAATAAACCATTCTGACAAATTGTTAGAAGTTTCTGATAAAAAATGTATTTGTTACTTCTTGATGGAAGCTTGACGTCAATAAATCACATTGAAACTAATCACCACATGTCTAATAATTAACCCAGGCTTTGTCTCGTGATATAAAGGGAGATAACTTCTACAACTTGCAGAGAAAAGAAAAGAAAGTGTACTGAAAATAACAAGTCAAGTTTGATTCCCCGGGTTTAAACTACTCGATGTATTAGAAATCGAACTAAGCACCGAAGAGGACAGAATGTGGGAGGTTACACAGATATAAGATCAATTGATTAATTTGAACTGCAATTAGATACAGATCAGTAGGAAATTAAAATAATTAGCAATCATTGAACTGTCATTCCAATATCTTTCTTCATTTAATATAATATCATTAATAACAACAATAGAACATACTCAATTAGTAGAATCTTACTTTTACTATAGAAACTGTACACAATAACAAACATCATAATGTCGTTTATTGTTTGTTTGAGGAGATTTGCGGTTGGTAGATTTACTCTCCGAGCCTCGGGCCTAAAAATCCCATAAACAGTAATATTATCTAAAAATGACATAGGTCTGATAGCCAAGCCAAGCTTGAGATAGCCCCAACCCCTAAATACAACATTCCCCCCTCCCCCACCCTCCCGTAAAAAAGATGTCAATTGTTTTTTTTTAAATACATTGATTCATTTTACTGAATCAAGGGGAGTCTTTGTTATAAGACATCCTGAGGATGTCCCCAGACTTCAGAAAATCATGTTTCCAGGCTCCCAATGGAAGCCGGCTGGCTACGGGCCTGTTAAGCTGTATATACCGAGTCCATGAGTCTTTCAAAAATTGAGTCTCAGAGATAGGCCTACTCAAACTTATTATATTACGTTTGTATCATTTATACTGAGCTCATACCTTTTTTTACGTTTATACTCCGTGGTAATTTTCTGAAATTCAGCTTCGGAGCACAAGAAAAACAAATTTTCTTATTTTTTCAATAATTACAGGTGCTTTCCTTATACCATATCTAGTCATGTTATTAGTGGGAGGTATACCTTTATTTTATATGGAGTTAGCATTAGGACAATTTAATAGAACCGGTGCCATTACTTGTTGGGGACGACTTTGTCCTTTATTTAAAGGTAAGTCATATTCCTTATTGCTTGAAATGAAATTAATTCCGGGCCTGTTGTTCTTTACAATATTGATGACGTATAACATAACAGTTGCACTACTTTGTAATAAACAATTTACACCGTTAAAGTATGTGTACGCGTTTGCCATAGTACGTGGCACCTGTATTAATGATAAAACCAACGGAAGTTGGTTTTGATGTGTTTTCATATAGATGATTTTAAAACAATAACATAATGCTAATATGCTCCCAATTTACATGTACATGTACCTTAAAACCTATCACTAGGCAAACAATTACATTTGTAAATTATATTGATAATGTAATTCAAACCATTTTATCTCTTTTACAGGTATAGGTTGGTCTGTTGTTCTCATCGCTTTTTATACAGATTTTTTCTACAATGTTGTGATAGCGTGGTGTTTACATTTCTTCTTTTCATCCTTCACATCCGAACTTCCATGGGCTCGTTGTGATAATGCATGGAATACAGAGTATTGCTATGATGGCCACATTCGGGGTAACACGTCTGAAAATAGTACCCTGTTAAATGTGACAGAACTGTTCGGTGGAAACAATACCAATGGTACTGAAGTCATAAGAAGATCAGCCGCAGCTGAATATTTCGAGTAAGATTGCTTTTCAGATTACACTATACTTTGCGAGCTAGATATTTTTATTTTTATTTTGTAAGTCACTTATTGTGGATCTGTCAAAATTTTAATTCAAGGACTGGTTATCATAGTGCAAAAAAGTGTTCGATGATGCTTATCCAAGAAGTGTTACTTTACTTAACAGTTTAATAGGCTAACTGAAAAACTCACTTTGATCTTAAATGCATATAACCCTGAGGTGTATCATTTGTTATTTTAAACGTGAAAGCATCCATTAAAAAAATATAGTCTGAAAAATATGATCTAAAAACCAAAGCTGATTATAATACAAGATTCTAAAATCTGCTACAGATACTTGAAGTGAGACATTGTAAAACATTATTCTTCAAACATTTTAAAAAGGGTTTAACGGGCTATACGGGTCAATATGCAAGCGATATTGTGAAGTATTTGAATCTATTCGAAAACAATTTTAAAATTGTATATTGACAAGTTCTTCTAAAGTTAAAATGGTGCCAAAATGTAAGCAAAGTCGGTAATAGTGTGTTTAATGGGAGAAAGGACTCTCTCAGAGCTTCTGAATTTCGAAGCTATTCTGTACATATATTTAAATAAGTCGTCTGCTTATATTAAGACAAAAGCGGGAGGCGTAAATGTATTGATGAATCGTGGGTTCTCTTTGATCATATACGATAGCTAAACGATATTGTTAATCTAGCTGATACGTTGACGAGATAGGACGACAATCGCCCACGGTTATGATATATTTAATAACAGTTGTTCATATTGTAGTGGACAAGAGCCCAGGGGAGACCATGGGCTGTCAACTGAAACAATAATTACTGATAGAACCACGTTACCAGGAATGACCTATATAGAACCATCTTGTAGATTTCTCTAGAGTCCTACCCTGGTTTGATATTATGTTACTGGACTAAATATTCGATCTACCCGTGTTCTGATAAATTTCTATTGTATATAATGCATTCAATTTTGTTGATTTCATAACAGAAAAGAAACTAAGCATATTATGGCAATACGCATATCTTGATATATCTCCGAATATTGCGAATCCATGATGTATCGTTCAAAATGCCCATAGTTACAACTGTGAGTAGACAAAGTGGACCTCAAAGTCGACTATGAAGGCGAAATTATGAACAAGTTTCTACCCGAATCCATAATATGTTAACGTGGCTTTTAGTATATTATAACACCTGTAGGTTACGATAAGTGTGTTCTCATAAAGAAAATTTTAGTATGCAACTACTTGTCGCAAATAATTAAACATTACAGGTTATATAGGTGTGTAATTGGTTTGTAATTACTATAAGTATTTCGACTCACGATTAAACAAAAACCTCAAAGTGATTTGAAGCACCTGATTATGTGAAAATTTTCATTTAAATAATATCAAGTTCTCTATTTCTATGAAATACAATTGCAGCTTACATTTTTAAATATAATTGAAGTCTTAAATTTTGTTTTCGATTAAAAATTAGAGCAATTTTTGTATTCAATGAAAGTTCCCAAACTTGATTTGTCTGTGATGGGCTGACATAAAAATGTTGTTTTTTGAACGGGGGAATAAACTGAAGCCTTGAGTTCACGAAAGATATCACGGCTGTTGGGAATCCATACAGATCATGTTTCATGTCAGTATACATTGATATATAACCACTCCACTTACAACAGACAAAACAGGGATCGCAGTATATTAGCAAACAACGCAATATTCATTTTAACATAAGGCCATGGACTTACATTATATATTTTGAAAAATGGTATTGCCACAAACCATTCTATCTCGAAGTGGAAGGTAACAATTGCACAAAAAATGCGAATCGCATGGATTAATTTATAGCTATACCTATGATTGTATATTTCAATCCAATCGTTCCAATCTGAGATTTGGAAATTGAATAACTTTTAGATCAATCTGTTGTCTGGTAAATTCTACAGTAAAAATGAACGAAGAAAACACTGGCAACGCAACTAACTTTAAATACTTGTTTGATCTAACCAGAAAATGTATTTCAGATTTGGTATGTTAGAGGTCCACAAATCAGGTGGCTTTTATGAAGTAGGAGAATTAAAATGGGAGTTAGTTCTGTGTCTATTGGGTGTCTACATCATCTGTTATTTTAGTTTATGGAAAGGAATCCACACATCAGGAAAGGTACTTGAATTGCATTACTCATAAAACCTGTCATAAAAGGAATTCCAGATCTATGATAGGACTGTGGCAAAAAATAAAGTCTATTTATGCCAGACCCCGTGTTTTACGGGATGCTGTGAACGGCCCCCAAAAACCATATCCGCATGTGTGTTGTAAGATTGGGCATAGAAATTGTAACCGTCACCGCTACAGCTTTAAAACTGTCACCATTACGTAGTTACATTCAAAATTTCCAATGGGTTTCTTCTTTATTCTCTTTTTTCACAATCTATTTACAGGTTGTATGGTTTACAGCTTTATTCCCTTATGTTGTACTATTTATATTGATGTGTCGAGGAGCCACATTGGATGGAGCTGCTATTGGTATAGAATACTACTTAACACCCAAATTTGATCGATTACTTTCTTCAGAGGTGAGTTTCATTTCCCTACGAAAACTAAGAATTCTGAATTATGTGTTCCTTGGAAAGTATTCCCCGGTTTCCATCAGTGTGGTTTCCACTCAGACGTGCCTCAAATCATAGAAAACTTAATGGAAGCCAATACAAATGTATATACCTATTGCTTACCGATTTTGTGAAATAGAGAAATAGAAGCCCCATTATAATATATAATTTGTTGCAGGTATGGGTTGATGCAGCAACCCAAGTATTTTTCTCGCTGGGACCAGGATTTGGTGTGTTATTAGCGTATGCCAGTTATAACCCTCTACATAATAATGTTTATAGGTAAGTGAATACTCAAAATTTGGAACAGTTTATGCAAAAAAAAAAAAAATTATTTAAAAGACGTATTGTTTCTTTTAAGTAAAATTACCACTTTTATAAATTATAATGTACGCTTCTTCCGCAAATTCGTAAAATAAAAACGTAGTCCGGATTGCCATTTAAGATTTATGAACTTCAATGCTACCCTGAAGCACTACTAGGTATTTACGATGCAGTCAGATGTATAATGTTTAAGTTAAAAATAACATAATACTACGTTTCTGATATCTAATATTTTTAGAAGTACAAATGGTTTAACTTTATTGCATAACATGATTTTTTACAGCATCATAAATGAACACTTATAAAAGAATCATTTTATTAAGTTGCAAAAATTAAAAAAAAAATACACTTATATTCATAGTAGTAAAGTAAATCTTAAGTTTATGAACCGTATAATTTCAATTTCTTGTTGTCATAACAAAACCACAACAAATTCATTTTCAAAGAAAATTGTTGAATTCCTTTTCCAGTCTTTAATGTCCTTACCTCAACTAAATGACTCTTAAAGATATGAAGTTCCTCTTAATTTTTATTGGCTTCATTTACAGTGTACACCGACAACAAAGGTTAAAAGCCAGATCTTGTCATGTTTTATAAAACAATTATAAGCATAACTCATGCTTGAGATAAGTTCAAATGTTATAAAACTTATCTTTGATCATTGACCTTTTATAAGCGAAAGAAATTGTCTTTGTAGTAGCTTTATAGTGACCCACTTTTTAAACTATTGTTTCCAATGACACACCTAAAAGTCCAACTTTGACACTGTGTTTTCGTACGGAATCAAATATTATATAAGGCCTATTTAAATCTGGTTACTACGCCTTCATGGTATTGATATGATATATGATAAGTTAGATTTTATTTTTGATGACGATAACTCGTTTTTAGTTTTAGTCTTTGGATAAGTATAGACTCGTCATCCTACCAAACCATGTACCATTGCATAAGTTGAAGTCGAGGAGTTGTCACGAAGCAATCATTCTTAACGTCTTTGCATCTGATTTAAATTTCGGTATTTAGATGACCTCCAAATCGATGCCAAATGTTTGTATATTTATACATAGCATAGCAGGGTTTTAGGATTTACTTACATAATGAAGTTGACATAATATATTGTCCCTTCAGGAAAACCACAATACAAAGTATTTTAACACTCATAGATTAAAATAGGCATGGGTATAAATTCACAAAAATATATTGAATTGATTCGAAATACATGTCGCCTTAAGAAACTCTGACAAATTTCTGTGGCTGCGTTATTTATCACAAATAATCGTAAACAATCGTAATTACAGTAAACGCCAGTATTATTTAACTGGTGTGTTTGATGTATGTTTATATAATCGAAATAATTGGCTATCATTAATGACCAAACTATGTGCCGATTGTCACAAGAATCGAACTTGCCCTGGTTTAGCATCAGTACCATTGCAGGCACTTGAAATATCACCAACCGCCCTGTGAAACGATACCAGTAAGTAAAAAATTGTATTAAATAGAGTTAAGAAGAAACATGTAACCACCATTAGCTTGGATCATTTTATAACCAAAACATTCCACTAACTATATGTTTAATTATACTTTCAACCCTCCCAGCAAACTCAATACTTCAATAAAAAGAGAAAAGAAAAAATCGCGCTGGTATCGGCTAATTATCAGAGAATACGTTGAACATGATATGCCTTTTAAGCTTGATAATTGATAGAAAATTGGATAATTATTTTGCATTCATTGGCTTGTTGACTTGAGAACATAGAAACGGTATATGAGAGTTTAATAACCAAACATCCTTTTATTCTTATGTTATTATTAATTACTTTATTAACATAACTTTAATTGTTTTAAGGTAATTCGCCTGTAGAGTTTATTTCGTGATAAATCGCAATTAATTCAAATTTAGGTCATATGGATACGTTTACTATATTCCTGAATGCCAACTTTTACTTTACTCCCGGGAAAAAATTAAAGTTTTTACAAATTCAATGGTGAACTTTATTCCGATCACAGTAAAATCCATTATACTTTTGACCTTACCTTAAATCCCGTCTTAATGTGCTGCTTCAAGCTCTGTTCTTTGTGGTATGATGAAGGTTTTGTGGTATTAGACGCTTCTTATCAAACTGTAAGGGGCCTCTACTGTTCATGACATCCGACCCTTCTACTATGTCAGTCCCCAACCTATATTGCTGTTATGAAAACCTATGTCAGTAGGTTCGAAACAGGCGTTTGAGCCATTGATCATTAAGCTACAACCGACGAAGTCTCTGTGACGTAAGAACTACCAACAACTTTCGTATTTTTGCTAAGGTTTCAATAACCATGCCACCAATTTTCTGGATCACAAGTTTTGTACTATTACTATAGTTATTGATAATTCATTTGTTTGTTTATCCTGTTGACACTTATTTCCTAAATGTAAATAAAAATATAAAGGTTAATTCATCTCATTCACGTATAGATGGTAAATGGAGCCTGTAAAATTCTATATAGCTGAGAAAGTTTTTTTTTTTAGCTTTGATTATCAATTTGTACAGAGTGACTTATTTTGGTTATACAGCCTTTATAGGTAGAAGTCAGAAATCTGACTATGTCCAAAACTATTTTGAATAACAAATTTCATCAAATTCCTCTGTGTGCGTATTACGGACGCCTTGATATTAAAAAAAATGCGAAGTCTTTCCACGTGAACAATTTAATGTGGCTCACTCTCAAGATCCTTCATGTCAACATGTCTTAAGTCTGAGGCGCTGGTCATCGTCTAAAACGACACTCGATGTAAAATCAAAATTTTATCTGTAAATTCAGACATTCGGCATTCTTTGGAAAGACGTTACTGAACTTCTACTCTAGGCTGACTTCAGGTTGATCTTTTGGAATTAGATGGTTTGCTATAGATGTCTATGGGAGTTTTGGGTTGGATTGTATGGCAATTACTACATATTATGATGATTGAGAAACCCGCAATCTATCAAGATTTTTTAGCTACCCCCCATCTATCTGAACCACATTAAGTGATTGCAATCAGATCGACCATTTTGATATGATTGAAACCGTGTATTTATTTCGATTTGAAAAATGCCCCAAATTTGAGAATAGGCATACTTCTCGATTTTCACCTTTACTCCTTGACTTTCTTTGCTTTACTGTTTTTTGGTGCAATGGGCATCCTAAAACGAACTATGACCTTCTGTTTGAATGTTTGACCCAGTAATGACCAGACATTTGGCTTAAATGAATCTCGAATTATGTGCCTAAGAGAAAGTAAAAGCAATTTTCAACTTATATTTAATGCTTCATTGGGTGTCTGCTACCTTGTTATATGACACCGTTTTCCTTTAACTTCTTTTCAAAAGATTCAATTAAATCAAAATGGCCGACCGACAATTCTATAGTGAATCTCAATAGAGATGTTTCCGGTGTGAATTCATTTCGTCTGCTACTTTTATAAGTGAGTGCTAATTAAGCGCATGTCAGTCAGAGCACGCGCAATCGTCTGTTCAATTAGCTTTTAATGCTCACTTCCGGAAGTCACATGATTTACTTCAAAAGGTGACGTCAAAGATGTTGCTGTTGACTCTATACTTTTCCGTTCTTTGACTTGGTCGTAAATATAGGATGAGTTATTAAATAATCCATATAACCGTCCTAAATAATTTAATAATGCGTACTTTCTAGTCGTATGACAAACACGGTGCCAAGTCATTGACTTTTATGCCTGTTATTTCCAAATATTGATAACATTTTATTCATGGTTCAAGAAATTATTAGACGTAGAATTGCATACTAAAATGAAAATGAATCTGTTTACAGTTTTCAGATTTTCCACACAAAACGTCTATTGCACATAATCACGGCGAGCAAAATAAACACTAGAGATTACACTCCTGTGTAATTAAATCAATCGTAAATTTACTGTTTCAGGGATGCATTGCTGACAAGTGCCATCAATTGTCTAACGAGTTTCTTCTCTGGGTTTGTCATTTTCATGATCTTAGGATACATGTCTCAAAAGTCCGGACTTGACATTGATAAGGTGGCGACAGAAGGTAAGCTTTGTAAAAATTAATATTTTGATGAAAGCAGGCCTACAAAGGCGTGTCATCCTGTAAGTTGTGTATGGTAAACTTTGCATTCACTTGGGACATAATGAGTAAGTGATGATGATGCATGAACAGACCATCTATATGAGTCAATACACTAATATGCAAATCCAGCATGGAACATTCACAAATGACTAGACATATTATGTCGATAATTTACCTTAGAAAAACCATCAAACATAAAAAAAACCTGTAGCCATTTTTCTAATTTTATCATATTTTATAAAACGCACTTCTTTTAATCTTCAAATAACACGATAATTTACTTTCAGGCCCTGGATTAGTTTTTATCGTTTACCCAGAAGCCATAGCAACACTTCCGGGCGCGCCATATTGGTCTATTATATTCTTTTTGATGTTGTTAACACTAGGCTTAGATAGTTCGGTAAGTGATTGGTTAAACAGTTGAGATAAACCAAACACGATAAGATATTCGATACAATCGATTTGGAAGTTAAATCGAAAGTAAACCAACGGGAAAAAGATCTCAATAACTTGTATTAAGGCCCAATTGGCAAGCCAGTAAAATTGCATTTTCAAAATGACGTTCAAATATCAACGTTTTTTACAATTGCTATAAGGTCCAAACAAAACAATACCTTGCAATCTGCATAATGTGAGATTCAAAGAAACAACTTTCTAACAATTATTGTAATATGAAGCAGGAACAGCAGATACAAGAGTTCTGTTAAAAAGGCCAAGGTAGCTCTATCCGCTATGTACAATTAAACAAAATTATCACGTCGTATAATTTGAAAAACACTATTCTTGCCAAATCAGCATAATTAATTTTTAAATTGGTAAAAAGAGACTGTTGCAGCGTTTTTTAAGTAGCTTCTGCGCTATGGACACGTACTGTTATGTTTAGGATCTTCTTGAAATTCCAGTGCATTGTTTTTCTATTCCGAGGTAAAAAGTACATGATACGCGACTCTTATTACAAACCTTGAAAATTTTGAGTCTGCATGAAGAGGTCTAAAATAAGAATTAAGTTCGAAATTATTGAAAATGTGAAGTTTTTTGTCAAGTAAGAAAGTGAAGAAGGCAATAAGATAAAATTGTATTCATATTTAAAACTATAATTATTCCCCCCAATTTAACTCTTCAAGTCTTTTGCCTTTAAACCGGAAACTAATTCTATTCACGATATTTCTTGAGATCTCAGAGCGACCGATAGTTCGGAACTCTTGTCACTTCCGGTATTGATTAGCTTAATGGGTTTTTATTGAGGTAAATAAAGACCAATCAGCGAATGATTTGAAAGTAGCTATTCATCATTGATCTCTAGTTTTGAAGGAGGGAAAATTGATTTTCAATTTAGATAGAGATTATATGGAGTATATTATTCAATAATGATTTTTAATTCTAAACGCTGAATTTCGAAAATGTTAAACATGATATATTTTTGTATTGGTTTTAACATTATTTTGCTGTTAGCGAGGGATGGGTGTACTGAAATCTTTTCACGATCAACGGAAATGATATCCTGCTTTTTCAATTTCTGTCATTGTCAGTGACTACAGTGAATCAATTTGATGCTTAAAATGATGCAATCCTTAATTGTAAAGAAATGTATTCTTTAATATTTTGTAGTTTGGCGGATCAGAAGCTATTATTACAGCAATAGGTGACGAATTTCCAGTACTTAGAAAACATCGTGAAATATTTGTTGCCATATTGTTCTCCATCTATTTCTTATTTGGTTTGGCAAGTGTGGCCCAGGTAATGTAGTCTGAACCTTACGATAAAGGTGGTACACTGAAATTGTTAATTATAGCAGATTCGTTTTCTAAGATCAAACCAGCGTACACAGCAGTATATGGATACACTATTGCCAACGTGACAAACAAAAAAGATAACGTCATAATAGAATTCATGTTCATTCATTGAACCTCAAGCACCCTCACAATATGAATTGTATTTAATTTATAAATGCAATATGTTCAGACACTAATTTTTGTTAAACTAACGAAAGCCTTTGTGTATTATCAACAAAGATTCCGTCGAAAGTAATATTTTTGTTCAAATTTTACGACCGTCTTCTTGTGTTCCAGGGCGGTGTGTATGTTGTTAATTTGATGGAGAGATTTGCTGCCGGATATTCTATATTGTTTGCGGTATTCTTTGAAGCATTGGTTGTATCATGGGCTTATGGTAAGGATATATACTTTAACAAAACTCTGTATCTGATAACTTATGAATGTACTAAAGTGGCATGTATTTTTGTCATACTTATTTACCGACATTGTCAAAATTTACATGTATAAAAGTTAACGTCTTCTTAATCTAAATACCGGACAAAATATTTTGGACATTACTTTCTATTTACAATGGTGATGTGATCAAAAGGGGGGAAATTTAGCAATAATTAACACCTTAAATTCCTATTCCAGGTGCTAACCGATTTTCCGAAGATATTGAGATCATGATTGGTAGCAAACCAGGGAAATATTGGATGTTGATGTGGATGTTTGTAGCTCCGATTTTCATATTTGTAAGTCGTAATTTTTCGTGTTTTTAAATAAAGTTTAATTTACTTTAAATATGCCTTTTGGTAATTATGTTGCTTGTATTCAAATTTATTTTTGGCAATTCAAAACTATTAACTTTTTTGTTCCCAATTTCAGACGATTATGGTATTTGGGTTGGTTAATTATCAGCCAATAGAATATGATGGATACATGTACCCACTGTCCGCAACCCTAATCGGATGGGCAATAGCTCTATCCTCTATACTTTGCATACCTGGATTTGCTTTTTATGGAATCCTGACTGCTAAAGGTTCACTTATGGAGGTAACTATATTTAATAAAAATAATATGTCTTCAACTCTTAAAAGGATAATGTGCCATTTTTGACCAATCGTAAGATATAATTATTTACATATATTCAAGACTCAAATCAACCCCCCAATATGGCGAAACTATTGATAAGTTGCCTTATCATAAATTGTTTAATAAATTGTCACATATTTCTCTCCTATAAAAATAAATGATACTCTTTAATTAAGATTGTATTTTTTTCAGCGAATCAATTTCTTGTTGACACCTCAAAATAAAAGAGAGGCCAAGATAAGGAACAATATAAATACTATTAAAGTAACGGAAAATAATGTTGGGGATCATGTGTAGTTCATTGATAACTTTAAAGAGTCCATATGCATTTCCAGTGGTAATGGTTGTGAAAAAAGTCGGAAAAATACGTGTGTATATTGACTATATGAGAAAAAAGAATGATATAGTTAGGAATTATTGTGCATTGAAAACAGGGCAATATATCTATTACAAGAAGACAAACATCCTAAATATTAAACTGTTTTCGATTGAAGATCTGGATTTTGGCAAGTGGTGAAAAGAGTTCTAAATAATGTTTCTTTGAATATTCACCCGGTGCACCTTTGTGTTACAACCATCTCAGTAAAATATTTGGATATTTCAAGAAAAAAACAAAATACGAAAAAGTGCACTAAAATTTTTGTAAATTTCCAATTATTAGTCAGGTAGCCTCTGAGTTTATTTTTAATTATGCATAATTATTTGTTCATATCTTAGAACGTAGAATTGGGAAGATGAGACGATGAACCATTGCTGAAATATTATGACGTGGCCATAAAAATCACATATAATAACAAATGTGGCAAATGATAGAATTGCACAATTTAGATTTTACTCACATTGTAAATATGGCACCAAATATTTTATTATTTAATCAGACATGGCGGAATTACATCGTTAATATGTAATAAATTGTTGTAGCACCAATATATATATACTTCCGATAGTGTGTAATGTATTTATTGTTGTTATACAATATATATATATGTGTGTGTGCCTTAGTTAGAAACCCCCAAAAGATACACCACATATAGTCGTATAGATTTAAGTGTTTAAGACGCAATAATGTCTTGTAAATTTTGTAAGATAGCATTTTTTACGTTATTACTTTTTCCTATATTGGTGTTCATATAACATTTTGATAGTTCAGTGCGTGTTTTCCATAAAATATATAACTATAGAATAAATGTCTAGTCTTAAATTACAATAGTACACAAGTGTTTATGATATGTAACACAACTATATTGTTATTTGTTTATTTGTGCATTATAGATAACCGTTCATCTATATGACTAGCATATAATAATATAATGTAATATATTTTGTTATCTCAATAATTGTTATAGCAATAATTCACTGTCTTATGAAGTAGCCTATCCTACAATTTGTTCATTAAACCCGATGCAAATTTTCTAGTAAATTAAAAATTATATGTACTGTTATTTAAATCTACTTCTGTGCTGGTTTGAGCTGGAACACATGGATATATTCGAGTGTGGTACACCTGTAACTTCCGTTCAGAACATATGTTGAAAACAAATATTAGATTATCTTATTTGTTGAAATATATGTAATTTGTTGATCCAAGTTATCAATTCTGTGTAAGTGATTTAAGTAGCATTATGGTCTCAGTGTGGAGTATAAAGAGCAAATAAAACATTCAAACAATTCATACCATTCATAAGTAGTGGCCCCGTCGCTTAAACTGTTCTTGGTACACAATGAGGAGATGACACAAAGCGTAATTTTTGATGTTTGAAAACACCTTGAACGAGCATAAATAAAGTTATCCACTATATGCGTTCCATTATGCACCACCTTACCTGTGGAACACTCTGCCAATTAAACTAAAAAATCAAAAATTATTTTTTAGGGATAATTACGGAAATGAATGATTCTTAAAAATTTAACTTTGGCAGCGCACGAGGAACCTCGGTATTTATGCACTTTAGAAATTCGGAAAAGTGTAATGTAATGTATGACTGGATAACATAAAATTTTGTAGCTCTTTATTCCTTTCCTAACAGTTCCCTTACTTTTCCTCTTTGCAGTTGATAAGTAAACTGTCACAACTATTAGCAATAGCTCATAATAATACTGAATTTACCATACATACGCTATTGCATAATTATAGTATTTCGTGGCATTGAGATAGTGAATACAAGATTGGATTGCCGAGAAAAAAAGTATTCCGAAAATATATCCACGAAACAAAATCCTCAAAACAAATGTTTGTAAATAAATAACTATATATACACGTTTTTAATATGATTACATTTAATAATTCTAGACTAGATTATCATACAAAGTGTTGTTGAGTGTATTTATTACTTTTTGTACTAGATTATCAAGTTATTCAAATAAAAAGTAGATACTAAACTAGACTTGTATATCACCGTTCATTACCAGTGTATAATAAGGATTATGAAGAACAAACTAATTCGAAGCATTGAATAAACAAAGTGTTGTATGTTGCTGAAAAATTTGCAAAAGATGACTGATTAAGATTTATAGCTCATATAAATAATCTGACATAATGAGGTGCAGTTATTAACTTATTTGAACTTGTAATTGAATAAAATATGGTTAGTTCAATTTGACATAATGGTATGAAACACAAGCGGCTTCGGGTGTTTAATTGAAAAGACGCCATGGGTTTTCACGTTTCCATTCATTTGTGAAATTTTTTTTTTATCTGTTATGTTTCCGAAAATCCTCACAGAAGCAATGACAGTTTTAAGTAACAATATCTTTCAGTTACTTTTAGAACACCAAAACTATTTAAAAGATTTACGTAAACTTTTAAAAGTTGCTATGCTTTGGTTGTTGTTGGGAAACTAATGTACGGATTACACGTACAACACTATAGTTATCAGTTAGAGAGCGCCCCTGCACAAACGGATTTTTATTATTTGACCAATATTTACTTCAATTAAAATTAAATACAGCGTAAAAAAATCTACATTTGCATAGCAATAAACGAGCTATTAAGTTAATTTGGCACACCAGATGAGCTGTAGGATGTACTTTTATATTCGCTTAGTCTTTCTTCTTCTTTTACATATCTTGACATAGTCTGTTACTTTAATACTTGTCGTTAGATCTGCAATAAATTGGGACAAAAATGATAAACATGGCAAACTTTTTGAGAAGGGTAACAAATAAATAGTCGTATTTTACGTATTTGCTTTGATTAAATATAGATTTCACCTATAAAATATTAAATCTTACCCCATTTCTCCCCAAAAACAACAGGGCACGAATACTTTTGTTTTTGAAGCTGGTCATGATCGTTTGCTTCTTTGTTGAACCAATATAACAAATTCCCCTGTAATTATTTATATATCTTTATATAACCAATCAATGTCCAGTATCAATATTTGATGAAACTGCATATGTCAGAAGAACTACAGATCTCAATATTTATCATTTTGCCGAGACCTACTTTTGGAGAAGTGCCGAAATGGCTATTTTCACAGGAGCTTAGTATATGTATAATATGAAAAAGAATATGGAAGCTTTCAGAACAACTTATACTTATATGGCCATACCTTTTGTGAAGGAACACTTATTCCTAGTTTAGTAAAGATTGTACGACCGCTTTCTTCTATGTCAGATAACTGAAAAATATCAAGAATATATGCTTTTTACAAATGTTTTTCAAACGATGATTGAGCAACACGAAAAAAGAGATGTTGGTATGCAGAATGTTTGTTTATGTTACTCTTTGAAACGTTGTTTAGAACTTATAAGAAATATTGAAAGTTGATTGTAACGAAGGCAGAAAAGATGAACTTACAAATATTGTTAAGGAAGCTAATGCATTTAAAACACCTTGAACTTTGTATTCTTCTTCAAGATAGCCTCCAAGACCATAGTTGATCAACTGAAAAAGAAATTTTTTTTTCAATTCAGTGTTCAACTTTGTGTCTAATAGTAAAAGATCTATTTATTGGTTTTCGAAGAGGTTCTTGGATTCACCACACGATATATGAATTATAACAGCATGACCCTAATTCCTGCTATATGATTAGGGGAGAGGGGCCAAAGAACAAATAGGCGAATGGTTCAGATCTGTGATTTAAGAATATATATTATTGACCTTTTTTTTTCATATTTGCATTAATTACCGACAACGTTTCTGTTTATTCCCTTTTATGCTTACCTTAGGCATGTTGGAAGACTTTAGATTGTATCTGAACATGTTGGATATTTTACTGGAAACCAACCTACTGGTGTCATCGTCAACATCCAGAGAAGCTCTAACGAAAAAAAAAAACCATTATATTGTGTGGAATTGTAGTTGGCGAGAGAAATCAAACATAGTAAATAAAGGGGAATAACTCTATAACTTGAACCTTTTTTAATTTGAAAAGGTATGCGACTTGCAATGTCAAAAAAGCATAATACAAATTTCTCTGTTGTTTCGCATTTGAACGTTTTAAAATCTAATAGTTATTCTTATCACACCCAATAAAAGTTTTTATTCAGGAGACTAACAATAACGAATAAAAATTTGACTCACACTTCAAAGTAAGTGTTACGTTGTTCTTTGGGTAATGTCAACTGAAATAAAAATAAGTTTTGTGTTGATTAGTTATAATGAACGCCAATATATTAAAAGCACAAGGTAAGGGAAGACTAGCTTTTTCCAGTTTCCACAGAGTTTCTCAATCTAGAATGAATCGTAAATGGTAATATATAAGTCTTTCCTTTGAACATTCTCAGGTAATATAGCTGTTAAAATGTTCTAAATTCTACTCATGCGTCTAAGCAGAGCAACAGAATGAGAACTTACGTTTAGTGAAGCAGTCTGAATCAAAGAATCCACCTCTGTGTCTGTGAGGAAACCATGGATAATACTAATATAGGGTTTATTGTTGATAACCTCCTCCCTATACATACTGTAAATAGGCCTCGACATAGCTGATCGGTATTTACATCTTAAATTGGTGGTGTTCTGCATAGGCTGTAATGGTAATAAGTGGTAAAAGGAAAGCAACACAACGAGGAATGTGAATAACCATGACATAAAACAACAAATTTAAGTGAGTATGAGAAAAACGATCTAGAAGCATTACAGGTCTTAAACTGACAAAGGTGTCATGTTAAAGAAAATCGTTTTCTATCCAATGCACTGGCTCCTTCATAGAACTAATCAAAACATCTCGGCCCTTCGTTTACAGGGCCGAGTTAAGGGTTTTCTCATGAGAGATCTTGACAGTGTGTATTTGCTTATTTGCTTGGGGTATTTCCAGTTAACATTTATCCCCGATAACGGATCTATACACTTGTTTTGAGAAATGAACAATACCAATACCAATACACTATAACATAAAAAAATGTGTTCTTTCGTTCTAATTATGTAATGCTAGTCAATATTACCTGAATATGTTTTTGATTGCACAGTCTTCTTTTGATGGACCATATCGGCCATGGTGAATAATCGACATGATATGGTAGTCGATCTCCTCTGTGTGCTAAATACATCTTGTGAAATATATTCCCTGTATCTGAAAGTAAAGAAGGGTGCTGCATGACACAGAATCGCTGTGTTACAACCTACATTATACAGTTTCCACCTAGACCTGTCTCATTATCCAATGATCTTATCGCGGACACCTGGCTCTACCATCTTTCTGAAAGATCTTCAGAAAAGCTCGAGAGAACAATTTTCGATTTTCTTGTCTTATTTTTAAGAATGTGTTTTCTTACAACCGCTGTAGCGTGGTATTTTGCTTTATTAGCCTACCTACGTTATGGACAGGGGTCTTAAAATGTACATTCTCTGAATCATCCAATGTGAGTCATTCACTGGTAGAAATGTTAAACATCTGTATACTTTTAAGAAACACATCCATAAGTGGGTATAAGTAGGTATTGTTTGGCTCAAAGGGTCATTATTTGCTTCAACATTTTGGCATGTCTAGTTGCCTAGTTCACTACCCTAATTTGACTGGTTACGAATCATCGAAATCCGAAAGACATGTAATTTACCTTTTTTAACGCCAATATTTAATAATTCGCTCGTTTTCTCCTTCTCATGTCGCTGAAATAAGTACCAAAAGTATACCAAATATATTTTATGGATCTCAATGTTTCCTCAATGTGATTCAGAAGGAATGCAACGTTATGGTCAACAAAACTTCTTTAATGGTGTGAATCTAGAAAATTGGATTAGCTTATGGTTCAATGGGTAAATAGCTTTCTAATGTCCTTTGAGGATTTTAATATACTTCAGATAAAAAGAAAAAATAACTCTTACCGAGTGCTTCAACAGTATAAGCCTCCTTAAAGCATCTTTCCAATTGAATGTAGCTTTGGTCACATCACCGTTCAAGCGTTCCCATGCTATACTTATCCAATCATTCGCAATATCAATCAAGTTTTCGTTGTGTGCTGTAGCGCCAAAAATGTAGGCGTCAGCTGCAGTTAGCTTAGGAGAGTTGCGTCCCATGAACCTTCCATTCATAATATCATCAGCTGACAATTCATGTATAGTTTGAATTCTTAGAATGGCATCAAGCGCATCTCTTTGTTCAATGATTGTTGGGCTATTAAACTGCGGACAATCCAAAACTCTGTGATATTCTAGATAGAGACAGAAAAGAATAGCTTATTAATATTATTGCATTATGAGATTCTCTATTGAGAATTAACGACATCATTAAAATCATATGACTTTCCCATTTTTCTCCTTTTGACTCAAAGTACCTTTGACTTGTGATATTCAGAGATTACGATATTAAGAATACTTCGAAACGAAATGAAATGCCTTTTTACGCCATACTCAAAGTACATATTTGCCCGGTATAAAAGATGTACAACTAAATGTTCTGTTCTGTGATAATATAGCTGCGTTATGCTTTCAGCGGTATTTTAGCGTATCGTATGGCATTGGTTTTTGTCAAACTCCGACAGAAGTAATTGGTTACAAGATTAAATAAAAATATGACTTACTATATCCATATTTAGTTTGATTGGAGAACTTAGTTCTGTAATTTGCTACGAAATGCTTTATGATGACATAAGCTTTCACTGGATTATGAATGATTTCATCAATAGAATCCTCTTTACTTTCTGTTTTATTCTTTTTAACTTCTGACAATAACCTGCAATGATCACATTGAAATACAGGAAATCTGAAATAATGGGAGTCCAGTCCAACCAGTCCAGTCCAACTAAGCACAGTTTCGAAGAAAGATGGCCTGGACCGGTGAATTAAAATTGACCGACTCTACAGTGGCTATTGAATCTGATTGTTTGTAAATCCGCCTCTGTTTTAGTGATGGGGGACATTAATTAAAATAATTCAGTGATTATGACAATTTCTTCGAATTTTAATCAAAATATCAAATATAAACTGCAAAACTTGTTTGGTTGACAATTTGTTTCCGTCGTAGACAAGACTGTAGATCGAATATGCCTAATTGTATTATCCTTTCATGAATTTGGAAAGGTCGGAACAGAAAATACGAAGAAATGTCCCAGGCTATATCCTCTTAGTAGGATAGTTTGAGACAATCATGTTAAAAATATTAAAAGAAAAGGGAGACAACCAAATTCCAAACGATTTAAATGAAAACATTCAAAGGGCTAAATGAAAGGTGGATAAATCCTTGCACATGTTGCTACTTCTGTTCCGATTAAAAATGAACAATATCGTTGTATCAAGCTATGGTATGAATATGAATCTCAATCATGTATATAAGATTTATAGATTTATAAGTGGAGAGCACATAAGAACACAAGGAATGTTTTGGTATAACTCACTTCTTTAATAACTAAGCACATAACGTTTCAACACAATTTACATTGGTCGATCAGTTTAAGGTCGAATGGGTGATGTACGTCCAGCTGATATTGGTCACATTGTCCTTTTTCAAAACTCAAAACAAACAAGAGTATTCTTGCTAATGATTTCCTGGACCTTGTCTAAATGTCTTTTGCACTTCACCTTTTACAGTCATAAGACGACATAACAAATACTACTTACTGGGTAAGATCTTCAATTCTTATTTTCGCATACTCTATATCATCTTCATAACCAGTGCTTCTATAATTGATGACAACTCATATAAAAACTATCTTTCAAAAAATTAATGGGTCACAGATAATAATAGTTTAGAGTAAAAAGTCACTCCATTAAATATTACAGTATGACTGGAGGTTCTAAGCTAGTCTGCTTTGTCTCTCGACAATTGGTCATTTCACAAAAAAACATAATTACATCAGTAATATTTCAGGGAGAGGATAAACTCTTCAGTAAGTACGTCTCTATAGTCCCGTGTGCCTTAGTCACCCCAAAATGTATGTGTCTTATTTAATCCCGTGTTAAGCACTTAAAGAATTCGTGACCATAAAGATTCCAATAAGAATCACACTCGGTATTATCTGTAAGGGACGTGGCAAGACGTGAGAATTCGAAACTTACTTATTTAAAACTATCAATCGTTCTCTTTCATATTCAATGTATTCACCAATTTTTTCTGTAATGTTTTCTCTTTGCTCCAGAAATTGTCTAAATTTTGCACTAGAAGTAAATACATGGCCATATACACCGTTCAGACCAAACAAAACCAATAATAATGTGTAAAATTTGTACATCATTTCACAATTTACTCCTTTCTGTAAGTTTTTTCATTACAATAATCCAAATCAGCAAATAAACTAATGTATGTCCACGAATTTCAAAATGGCCGGTAAAAATCAATATGGCGTCATATGTTAGTAAAGACGTTTACTAAAACATGTTGTAAGTGCGACAGCTTGAACTATATATATCGATAATGATATGAAATGTCCCTTACTTAGAAGAATCTTTATATTTCACATAACCTTAAAGTACTATTAAAAGAAAAATCGATAAAATGGCAAAATTAAATTATTAGATTATATGTCTACTCGATATTTATCAATTATTCAATCGCTTTGTATGAATAAATATCATTTGTATTTACAATCTACATTATATTACATGTATCGAACATAGATATTGAAAAAGGAATTGTTGGGATTTGTCCATTACCCCCAATAAATTCAAACTAGTCCACCATGGAATCCGCACTTTGGCCAATCCCTTAATTGTTTTTTTTTTACTACTTTAGAAGTTCAAATACAGGTTATAATTACTTTGAGGTATATTAGTAAAGTAGGAGAAAAATAGCCAAAGGGAAAGAAGAGAAAAAGGAAGTAGAGAAAAGCGACTGCAATAGCCACTATTCTGGTATCACGAAATGCAGCGATGTGATTGGATTGTGCACCAGCAAATACAGCCCACGACAGAAAGGTTGTAAATATTATGGCTTTGTATTCACGGACATTCTCTTGAAGCTGTATTCGCTAGCCTACAAATCGCTTTATTTACTAACTTCCATGATACCTTGCTACAGTCAAGGTATGTAAAGATAGACAGGAAAGAGAAGCAGTCATATTGGGGAACGGATACGACTCAGAGGGTCTGTGAGGTATTCTCTAATATTGGGAGGTACTCATTGTACCCCATGCAATGCTTTGAATTATAGTTAAACACAGTTGCTCATCCGGGTACCGTTAAAACATAAACCAGTCCATTGTATTTTCAAAGGTATTAAAGGTAAAGTATTTAGAGGGTTTTGGCTAATAAATATCTGTGTATGACTATACAGTATTCCGAAGATTTGTTAAGGATCGCCGTTTCCTATTTTTCTAACCGATTTACATCTATATCATTTACTATTGATTAAAATTGTATTTAAAAAAATATCAGTTGCCTCTGCGGTCAAATAAAATTGCTGAGAATTCTTTCATTTGATTTAAAACGTACATAAAACATTCCAATATGAATTGAAAATTTTAATTCGCAATTCAGAAAAATTCGGAATCATGTTCCGTTGAAGACTCAAGATAAGAAGTAATCATTTTGATACAACGGATCTAGCTTTTTATAGGCTAAACGGTCTAAAGTTCTTCACGATTTATAGAGACCACCGAGCGTTGATAAACATTTCTAATTTTTACAAATATACATTTTGATTCGAAGATCGAAGAAATAGATTTTAGTTTTGGCTTATCATAGATATTGGATTTTAAAATAGGATTACTTTGACTCGTAAAGTGCGATGCGATACCGCTTAAGCGATTAAATTGAACCCTGCATCAAACATAATATGTATAGTTGTGGGCTGTTTTCCTATTTATTGTGCAACAAAAGAGAGTATGTACATGGCCTATTTTTATATAAAAAAGGGAACTTACTTACGTTGTAGACGACTTCTATTAAAAGAAACAACAATGCAAAAAGAAACCAACGTACATTTATTTTAGATTGTCTTTATTTTGAAAGATAATTAAGATAATAGTCATAAATATTTCGCTAAGAAGGATTAGTTTACTGACATTTGTTTCACCATTAAATTTAGTTTAATGTCTTGGTGTAATAATGTTAATTAAAAAATTGAACAGTCTTGAATAATTACTTAGGGAATGGAGTTATTTCCCTTTGCTCTTTGCCGGTATATTATGTGTCCAGCTTGTCTATGTCCATGTCGGACGACTAAAAAATGTTGACCAAATTTTTTTTATTGACCTAAGATTTGTGTTTACTGTTAACTGAAGTATTTTCCTTTGTTGTTTGTTGTTATAATGAACCGAAGGTTTTTTTTATTATTATTTTCACTAATCTTTGCATTTGATTGTAACGTATTGTAAGTGATTTTTTTTTGACTAAAGGGTTTCTGAATTACTGTTCTGATTTGACTATTGCATATACAAGTGTATTTTCATCACGTATTATATTTATCTGAAAATTAATGAAAGCGCTTTTTTGTCCTTGTCGGCCAATCGGATGTAGAAACATGAAAATGTTAAGCGATTCATAGGCTATTTGTCTATGTACACGTCGTCACTTTAAGGCTGCTGTTGAGATATTAAGAAGCTTGTTTGTATGTAATGTCTATTAGGATGATTTATGACCTGTATTAACTGACGATAAAAATGTCAAACTTGATCTTTATTTGTATCCTTTAGGTCAGTATCGTGACGCTGTTCTACAATTTACAAAGCTATATTAATAATATTAAAGTAGTTATCTACTCGCTTAAAGATGTAAAGCTAACGGACGTAAAACTCCAAATCACCATGTAGAGTGAGTCGTGAACCTTTACTTCGTTTCCATTTTTTTGTTTTTGATGTATGTATGGATTATAATGAAGATCTCTTCACAAGCTAATGAAATCAGTTAACATTAAGTCCAACTTAAAGTTTTCGATAAAGAGATGGCTAAAATGCATTTAGTCGCGTGTTTCACCAGTCACCAACTCCACACCGTTATATTGTGGAATAGTCTTCGATACCTAACCCTAAATATCTACAAGTAGAAATACGGCGGTGGCTATATACCGCGGCGTGATAAATAAATAGATGTAACAGTGCGATGGTCATTAAACAGGAATTTAAGCAATTTAATGTGTAATTATGATTATGAACAATAAAAAAAGAATTGACGACGATTATTTTTTATCATTTTTAAAAATGCGCCAGCTCAAAGGTGGTATGGACAGAATTATTTCATCTGACATAGCCTGTAATACATGGTGATATATTTTCTTTTGTAGTTACAAAAAACAAAGAGCCAAAGCAACACCTCAGTGATAAAACAAATAATTACAATTGCATTTTTTCAATATCCTGTTGTACACAATACATTTATTCGTATTCAATATTCATCCATGGATGACAACATCATTGCGGAAGTACATTGCGGACAATAAAAATCCATACAAGCAAGACAATTCCGACCATCAAAAATCTCGTCCAGAATGACAAAATCGGGAGTAAAGGTAGAATAGTAGTGGACTCCTCCAAGATGTACTACGATGTGTTTCGTAAAGAGTAAGCCTGGTTCTGCTTCGCGCGCTACATCCGCGCCACTACTACAATAGTCAAAACCATAAGATACAACCATGTCTTCAAGAATCCTTGTTCACTGACACCATTATTATATAATATTAGTTATCTGTTCGTAAAATTATTTTTGTTTTATATCATGCATATAAATGTAAATTGTTCCTAAAAATATTTATCTTCCTTAACCCGTTTCAGTTGGCCTTCAGTAGCAGATGTAGGGAAAACATGCGTCTTGTACGTGGTGATAAACTTTTGAATAAAAAATGCGATGTATAACATATGCAGACCATGCACAATTATATCATTAAATCTATTTTAGTCTCAGAGGTCTAGGTTAGGAGACATATTCTAGTTAATCAACTTTTTAAAATGTAACTGGCATGATGACGCCCTTTATTTATCAAGACAAAATTGAAATGGAGTCGAGTCGAGTACCTTAATAGTCTTCAAATTAAGACACTAAAAGTCCACATATTATTTCAAAGTGAAAAAAATTTCAAATTATTTGCGCTCCATCAACATTAGCCAATAAAATTAATAAGAGCGAAAAATGGGTCAATTTTGACATTTTACCCACGGCATTGCAAAAAAGACATGTTTTCACATAATTTTTGCATCTGTCAATATGCCAAGACTAAAAAACTTAAACAAACAAATGCAAGTAATTGCAAGGTGTTAAGTTACCTTCTATTTCTACCCAAATGCTGGTAATTAAAGCTGGTTTAAAGACGCCTTGTAGATCAAAGATATGTCGTTACACTTTCAGTGGATGTGAACTCGGCAAAAAAAAAAAACACAACCGCCCAAAAAAACCCAAAAAAAACAAAACAGCATATTATATTATTTAAACACCCCATTTACTAATAATGACTCTTCATGGTGTATCATTGGATGGCACAGATCTGTTGCACCCATTTCAAAAGCATTTAGTATATTGATGGTAAGTTGCGTAGATTTTGCCGTCGATTAATGAAAGCATTGAGAATTGAGAAACACTTATAATGAATGAGTTTACTTAGCAAATAACAGAAAGTAAAAGGTTTGAGACAAAATAACAATGATATAAAACTATGAATATTTTACAATGATGGCATTCTATTTGTATCGTGCGTACAAATTTCTTGCACAAAATATGTATTAGTATGGACTCTCTTACAAGTAGATGTCACACTGAATTGCTTAAGCGAGGAATAGTTGTTGCTGAACTAAAAGGGGAGGTAAATATTATGTATATCCGACATTCTATAAAATTACAATTCTATTAATACGTATCGGTGAGTGAAAGTAACGTAACTAACACGCAAGTTGCAATAGCTGAATTTGATAATGTTATTGGTCACTACCGATTGGTTTTATTGAATTGAAGACGAACTAAGTGACATATAATTTCTTAAACTTAATAGGGATATTTGATGTATGGAACCAACAATACTACCTATAAGTCTATCAAAAAAGCATAGTTCAAAAAATCCAGAGCAAATCAAACTGTCCTAATCAACTTATTTAGTTCATTAGCTTGACGAAACATGTATTAAAATGGAAATCGGCGAAGATATACAGGATGAATCATTGGTCTCAAAAACATTCTTGAGAGCATTCCGTATCGCATCGCCTGCAGTCGTTGAATCATCTGCATTTTGTACATCTGTTGTTGCTGAAAAGCATTCAAACCACCAACATTCACACCACTATTTCCCGATCCAAATTGCATATTTCTAGCACTATTTCCCGATCCAAATTGCATATTTCTGGCAGTATTTCCCGATCCAAATTGCATATTTCTGGCAGTATTTCCCGATCCAAACTGCATATTTGCCGCAAAGGCATTACGTGTTACTGATTGTCCAACTTTTCTACTAGGTATGTAACCAATTTGTGCAGTTCCAACTTCCGAGTTACCAGATCTCGACTGTCCTATGTTGAAGCTCATTGATCTGGAATTTGCGCTGAGGACCCTCTGTTGACCACTGTTTGATGCACCTCGAATCACTGTAGTGATTGCCGGGGTTACAGATCCTGGTGTGGTTTCAAATATAGAGTTTAATCTGTGGTTAACATCACCTTCAAATGAGAAAATACATGTATTTACTGAAGTGGCCCATAAAAACCAAGTTTGATCTAAACTACGTTTTGTACATGTAAGGCAACAGAGTTTAGTGTCAATTTAAAATGCCCAAAAATTTTGTCGAGGCAATGCAGATTGATCAGAAAACAATAGACGACGATGTTTTCTTCACAGATCCATGACAGTTTATTTAGCCAAATTGTATCAACAATACGTTAAAATTTACTGAATCAGATGCAGTTATATTTAAGACCTCTGCACTTCTAAAAAAAACATTATATGCCAAAAAACAAGCACTAATAATCCTTTGTCTGAAAGGACAAAAACATTTTATCATACATGAGATTTAATGTTAATGAGCTGTTATATACTTGAGACCTGGGTGAATATGGTGGCGCTCGATTGGTGAATTTTGATTCATGGTATCAACCGGAAAAACAGTAAAAACAAGTTGGGATAAGGTAATGATTTCGTAGAAAGTAGATGTGGACAGAATTCAAATGACGGAGAAAGAAAGAGAATATCCGGTTGGGAACCTGTTCATAACTCACCAATCGAGAATCGTCAATATCTCAATTCTATGTTCTATATCAAAGTTGGTAGAACGGGCCAACTCGAGCCAGAACGTTAGTAGAAGCCATTAAACACCAAAGTTACTGTTTACAAAATCTACAACCTCCAAAAATACTTTCAGAGCTCAGAGATTCTCCACCCAATTGTCGAAGTAATGAAATAAGTGAAATTAAAGGCGAATCCCACTGCTTGGATAGAGTTCAAGATGACAACTGACTATACTCGCCTATCACGTGACTTATCAGCGCGTGCTAACTCAGAAAGATAGCAGACGACAGACAACGGAATTGTCTTGTTATAAACTAAGTCTATCTTCATATCCTTCAATATCTAAAAATTTCACACTACTTACGGATCATGATGATTTCATTGTAAGATAGATTTACCCGTTCGCCTAATTCACTGATCATGACGTACAAATCATCTACAAAAAATATTATTAACAACCATTTAAATAGTTATCTGAGAAATGTTCACCATCTACCGCAGACGACATGAGCTCAAATTAGCCGACTATTAATCTACGGGCGATCTCTGTTTTCGAACGCGCAAAATTTTGCTAAAAATACGACATGAGCATAAAGCTTCTCATATCATCAGTACGTTACCGACATTTTTGGTCTGAGCACCTATTTAATCTATATTATTCTTCTGGCAGTTCTAAAAGAAGTCGAAACTCAGATGAAATAGACGTTTACGTCGTACTACTCTGCATCCTTAAGATAGCCATATTATAGTCACTGTTGAGACTTCTCAATATTCAAAATGTCAGAACAGTTTATTAATTGTAATCGAACCAAATTTTCATTCTGAGAAGTGATACTAGTTACTCACCAAACGGATTATTGGGAGTACCATTATCATCTTGTTCTAAAGCAACATTCCCTTCCGCCATGAAAGCCAACGCTCGTATCATAGCTGCAATATAAACACTTTGAATGACATTAAGAGAATAAAAAAGAGAGGGTAACGGAGTATATCGTCCATTTTGAAATGACTTCTTATACATAATAGTGGACTTATTAAACGTTTTGTATAGAAACTACACGCTTGATTAAATTTGACCCTACCTTGCCGATATCCACTCAGTATATCACGTCTGGGGAACGGGTAGGACAGGATTCGTCGGGATACAAACCCTCAAGTTAGTGGCATTAAACTTACCGTCAGAATACGTATCCGGGTAACTCGATTTAGCAACTAATGGCTGATTGCCTGGGTTTCCACCATTGGTACCAACAGGAAAACTCATCTTTTCGACGAGAGGAACTTGAATATTGTTAATTGCATCGACTGCACCTCCTTTGAGACTAAGTTTATCTGCACGTTTAGGTTGGGCATTACAAACAGCTAGGACAACTGCGATCATAAATAAACAAATCATCTTGATTCTGAAATAATAAATCAAGATACTCAGGTTAATGCGTTGTCATTTTACGCACCTTTCCGTCGACTTATAAGCTTCCTGAGCACTTTGTCGGATTCTCTTTGTGACCAAGTGCATAGGTATATCAAGTAAGATACTTTTATTTTCGATCCAAGGTAGTCTTCATCAAATTCATTGTGATTGTGGTTAAATTCTAATTCTTGAAATGAATGCTACAGCGAATGATAAGTTTGAGTAAGCGAAATGATTATGTTTTAAAAAATAGCATAAAATATATCTAGCTGAAATTATTAAAAATAGAGTGTAAGTAAAATATTCTATTCGTTAAAATAATGAAACTATCGTAGTTGTTCAAGCACATAGATTCCTTATAGTAAAAATTGTTATAATATCGCATAATAAGGTGCCGACAGCAATACAGCCAGTGTTATTAAAGTAAGTTTCTACTACATAGGAATAAAAATGGTGTAATGGTCAAATCGACGTAATGGATAATATGTTTCAAAATAATCATTTAATATCAATTGATGTTTTTGTCAATATCAGTGAACCCATACCACAACACTATCTTCCACGAACGACAATCACCGATTCAATAAATATTCAAACACAATTACATTGAGTCACATTAAAAATTGTCTACCTTCTACACACATTAGTTATCAGTTCCGTGGTCCAAAATGGTGAACAGAAATTTTCTTGCAATGTGCGGCATTTGAAAATAGTATTAAAGAAATGTTTGACCGCATTCATCATGAAATATATATTTGAATATAAAAATTATTTTTGGTTCTGTCAATCAGTCACAATACAATAGCGTATTGATCTGCGGTTGAAAGTACGTCCCACTCAAGACAGATCTGATGTCGGTAATAAACTTAAGACATAAACAAATCATTAACATTCTTAAAAAATGTGCAAAGCACCAAGAAAGTACACAAATTTACATTGAGCTATGGGTTTAACTCTACCATGAACTAAAATATCATTAAGATTCTTATTTCGTTTAAAAGAAATAACTAAATCTTTTTGAAATATATCAGGGAATTTTTGTTGGAGTTCCCTGTACATTTCCTTGATAATTGGTATGGCTTGGCAAGCTGTGCTATTGAAAAGTACAACAAATGGAATAATTTGATAATCCACTTGGACATTAAGACCATTTGGCTGTATTATTTTCAATTTGTTTATACCGAAATTTTCTCGAAGAAGTCTGCAGGTTCATGTTGGGATATCGTTTTGTTCTTGAAATTTTTCAATAGGTGTAATTTGGACATTATTTATAGTGTGATCTGACTGGTTAAAATGTTTAGCAACAGATTTGATTATGATTTATATCAAATCTATGGCCATTGAATCATGTTCTTAATTTGTTTATATTGTTTAAGAGAGAGTACATGATATAAGGTATATAATACTGCTGCTGTCACACGAAAGGTTGTCTGTTATTGGAAAGTTTGCATTATTTGAGGTGTTGTTGAAAAAACGAGTTGAGTTAAAAAAAAAAAAAACAAAACAAGAAGTTGACTTGAGATAAAATACACACCTTAGAAAAAGTTTAAAATCATGTTTTATCATAATTTGTCATAATTGTTCTTTTTTAAGGAATTTTTAAGCATATATTATATGAATTATGTCCTTGTAAACCACAAATTGTCAGTTTTCTTTCTACATACATAAAATAATGTATATTTGACATGTATACTTCAATTCTAAAAGGAAGTTTGTAAGTTGTTTTCATTGAGATATATTCGTCTTCAAGTGTCATTTTTATTCGTATCCCCTACAACCGAAATGAATGGTAAAGTATGAGTATAATTAAATCTACAGTTACATTCCCTTCCCCGAAATCAAACACAAACTAAAGCTCGAAATCAAACTGAAAACGTAATTTCATGTGTACGTATGATTATTCGGCAAAACCGTCATTGGGTCACCAAGGAGGAGTGAAATGTCCCCTACAGTAGTGATGATGTAAAGTGGATAATGCCATCCGTTGCGTTTACAGAGGTGTTGAGTTTGACACACGTAAGGAGAAAATTGGATTTGGATAGGTTTTCTCTGGTCCGTTTTTTTTTTATTGCGTATGCGTTTGAGTTTGAGTATACATGTAATCGCAGCCTTGGTCTGTCACCTTCAAATAGTTACTGATATTAGATATTACATTAATAACATAATATTCCCTCAATGTATTCTGGATAAATACCCGAAGATGACAAACATTTGAACAAAATAGCGGCTAAAAGATTGTTGAGTATTAATATTAATTAATCGTCAAGTTGAGATAGAGACATGTCAAAATTCTCCGCAATTTCATTATTATACCTAGCTAATGGTGACAGCTGCTTAATCAAATAGCAACATTGTTAAGAATTCTCAGACAGACACAAATTTAAGATTAACATCTTTGTAGTGACAATTCCTGAAGTTTAAACCAAAAACCCTTGATAAATTACCAGAGTTATCCGTGCACTTTTAGAATGAGATTCCCTTGGTTATCGCTATTATATAGACCGCCTTTTAATTGTAGTCGTTTATACTGCGATTTGCATTGTGAAAATGTGACTGATAGCTAAAACGTAAAATAGGCATGTCGGAGTGTTGTATCCGTTTTACCTTTGAAAATTGAAAAGTACCTGTTTATGAGACGGCTAGTCCTGACAAGAAGTTACCAAGGTGGATCCTAAGCAGCTATCAACCCAGGGAAAATAATATTTCCATTTATATATGGAACAAAATGTTTTATTGCAAAGCTAATTATGAATAATGATTACTCATAATCGAATATACCCTCGAGGTAGACAACACAGAGGAAAAGGAAGACGAAGTCAAAAATAATGTTTTTATAGTCTTAAATAAAAGACTGGGAACAATAAATAACAACTGTGGAAAAATGGAATGTTAGATCTAAATATCATAAATTAATTGTTATATACGCCACTCCGTTATTTTCATTTTTAAACATTGTTATAAAATAAATATTTATTGGCGTTATTGATATATAAAAAATCACCATTCAAATTAGTGCTAACCTAACACTATCACCCATATTTTCATGACGAAATAAATGAAATATTTGTTATATTATGATAAGAAAAATAGTTCTTTTAAATGATACATTGCCTAGAAGTCATTACGGTGAATATACGCCTGAATAAGCAGCGACTATATTTTCATTTTTAAGCATTACTTATCCGACAGAGGACAATAACTATCATTTTACAAACTGAGATAAGTGATATTTGAGAGTACAGAATGAAATAATATAACCAACTAGACAAATTCACTTACAACAATTACCGTTCAATAATATTTACATTACTTGAGATTATCTCCGGATGTAGTCAGACTTACTGATGGACAGGCAAAAACTGTATATTAGTGTTCAATTCAGCATGTCTGGTGTGATAGTACTATGATGATAACAATCCCTAAGCTATGCAATTTGCGAAATAGGGTTTCTGTAACTCCAGAGTAATTCTTAGGGTCTTTGGTTAATTTCCTCCCAATTCCTTTTTGAAAATATGAAAATAGTATGCCACCACTTGAGGCAAAATGTTCATAGATTAATCAAGTTATACTGGGTGCATCATTAATGTTATTGTCTACATTGTTCGGTTGTAACTTTTTACTTTTTACGTGAAATTGTATTTGTCGATTGAGATAGATAAATGATAAAGGGTTCAAATATGACATTATTTTTGGAAATACCATGACATTTTTTGTTGTTGTTGTTAAATTATTTTGTAAGCCGCAAAATTCGAGGATTTCTAGGATATCCAAACGAAATATACAAAAATTTCTATAAACACTCACTATATCTACTTCTTCTGACAAGACATTGTCATCTTACATATATATTATTATGTTACCCAATATGATGTAATGAACATCACGTAAGACAAGTACATCGAACTAAAGTTTAGGCTATAAATTCTTTAAATTTTGAGTAATTAATACCAATTTGAATTATTATCATGTTACGTGTTGTAATACATATACGTCTCTGGTAATTTATATTTCTTTTTCAAGGGGCTGAATGTGAAGCCATTATATCTCATTTTGGAACCTTCTTCTGAACAGGTAGGTCGATTTACATAATTATTTTAAAGGAAAAAGATAAATCACACGATAACGCGCAAACAGGTATAATGTCGATACAATTACTTTATTACAAGTCGACTCTTCGTTTTATTATGTATAATTACCTTTACTTGCGTGATATCATCAATACAAATTCTGTTTTCTGTCATTTATGCTTTTTTATTCAGTTACATTATGTCTTAAATTACATTGGACGTTACCAAAATATTTTTGGATGTTAATATTTTTTGGGCTGCTTGAAAAGTTCTAGGCCTAAATGGGATATCTCAATCGGATTTAAACACATTTTTGCCACCAACAAATACACTCATGTAATGAATCATAGACATACTGCCTTTATGCCAGACCGTCTTGTGAACTTATTCATCTTGTGGACCTACAAGATGTATGTCAGTGGATCAGAAACTTGCCGATTTTGTTTCCTCCTCTATTTTTTTTAATAGTCCACATGGTACAGAAAAGTAGGACGTAAAAGTCCAATCATATTGTTTCCATCTTGAAATCTGTCTTGTTTTCATTCTCTCTATATTCTCTCGTTATACATTACATTCTGCAGTTGGCACAGCGTAAAATTGGGTTCTGTTGAAATATTTCTCAGTGATATGATATTATGCGGAAGTAATCAAGCATTGCTTTTAAAAGGATACTACCTGTAAAGTAAACTTCTGAATTTCAGATCTTAAAATGGAGAGTAGAATAATTTTGTCGTGTCTGTGTTCTGCGTTTTTAGTGCAACTGTCCCTGGGCCAACAAAGGTTTGTCCTAAGTAAGTATTGCAGTTCTCTTCTATGCTTGATCACACACCACAAGTCCTTATGGGAACTGTTTTTGGTTACTATCTATTGTGTTCGTTGCTCCTACTCTGGAGTACTAAAAGTTATACCTGAACAGTAAACAGGTATCGATAGGCGATATCTGTATAAGAGCAGAAGTACATACTT